CTTCCAGATCCCCGACTTGCAAAGGAAACGAAAAGAGCACACGACGAGGCAGACCAGCTGCGTTCCGCGTCTGCAACCGATCCGTGTTTCTCTTGTCCTGCCAAACCCTAAATGCTCCCGGTTACATCTTATTTGTGCCGAAGCATTCCCAGACCAAGCACCGCCAACCCCACCATTGCCATCGCCATCGCCAGAATCACCGTGCTGCGACCCCTCCAACCACGAACTCGTTTCTCGACCACCTCCCGCACAATGGCTCCGCCCCAAGCTGCCCTCGACTTTGTCGACTTTGTCAACGCCTCTCCCACTCGTAAGTATTGCATTGAACCCCACAGACAGCCGCAAAAGCTCACACTCCCCGCTTCCAGCCTACCACGCCTGCGCGACTGCTTCAAAACTCCTCGAGAAGGCCGGCTTCACAAAGATCAAGGAGCGCGACTCCTGGAACTCGTCCCTCCGTCCCGGCGGCAAATACTACCTCACCCGCAATGGCTCCTCCATCGTCGCCTTCGCCATCGGCAAGAAGTGGAAGCCCGGCAACCCCGTCGCCATGATCGGCGCCCACACCGATTCGCCCTGCCTGCGCATCAAGCCCGTCTCCAAGAAGAACAACGTCGGCTTCCTGCAGGTCGGCGTCGAGACCTACGGAGGCGGCATCTGGCACAGCTGGTTCGACCGCGACCTCTCCATCGCCGGCCGCGTGCTTGTCAAGGACGGCGAGGGCAACTTCGTCCAGAAGCTGATCAAGGTCGACAAGCCCCTGCTGCGCATCCCCACGCTGGCCATCCACCTCGACCGCAGCTCCAACTTTGACCCGAACAAGGAGAGCGAGCTGTTCCCCATCGCCGGCTTGGCTACCGCGGAGCTGAACAAGGGCGCCGCCAAGCCCGAGGACACGGACGACTCCCAGGAGGACTTCAAGCCCCTCAAGGCCATGACGGAACGCCACCACCCGCACATCCTGGACGTCATCGCCGCCCACGCCGAGGTCGAGCCCGAGGCCGTCGTCGACTTTGAGCTCGTCCTCTACGACATCCAAAAGTCCTGCCTGGGCGGCCTGAACGACGAGTTCATCTTCTCCGCCCGCCTCGACAACCTCAACATGACGTACTGCTCCGTCGAGGGCCTCATCGCCTCCGTCAAGGACGCAAGCGTCCTCGACAACGACACCACCATCCGCCTGGTGACGTGCTTCGACCACGAGGAGATCGGCTCCACCTCCGCCCACGGCGCCAACTCGAACCTCCTCCCCGCCGTCCTGCGCCGCCTCGCCTCCCTGCCCGGCAGCCGCGACACCGCCTCGGACGGCTCGTACGTCGCCGTCTCCTCCCACGACGGCGGCGACTACGAGTCCACCGCCTACGAGCAGACCCTCTCCCGCTCCTTCCTCGTCTCCGCCGACATGGCCCACTCCGTCCACCCCAACTACGCCGGCAAGTACGAGTCCTCCCACCAGCCCGCCATGAACGGCGGCACCGTCATCAAGGTCAACGCCAACCAGCGCTACGCCACAAACTCCCCGGGCATCGTCCTGCTGCAGGAGTGCGCGCGCCTCGCCGGCGTCCCGCTGCAGCTCTTCGTCGTCCGCAACGACTCGCCCTGCGGCAGCACCATCGGCCCCATGCTGAGCGCCAAGCTCGGCGTCCGGACGCTCGACCTGGGCAACCCGCAGCTCAGCATGCACTCCATCCGCGAGACGGGCGGCAGCGCCGACGTCGAGCACGCTATTAAGCTGTTTGAGAGCTTTTACGAGCGGTTCGGGGAGCTGGAGGAGAAGATTCTCGTGGATTAGGTTTTGCTGGTGTGTAAGAATTTAGTGGCGTTGCGGCGGCGTGGTGTTGGTTGTGAGAATACAAGTTTATTTTGAGCAGTTTTGCCTCGGTCGTCTGATGAGAGATGTGTGAGATGCGAGGATGCTGTTGATTCCCAAGTAGGAGGGGCGAGCAGCCTGGTCCTCGATGTCGCGCATTATACTTGCAATTTCATCGCTTTTCGTGAATTTCTGATGGTGAAACTTTTCATCTAGCCATTATTTATCAATCTGGTCCGAAGACCTCCACTAGACTAGGTCTCCAAATCGGAAAGCAGCAACAGCTTCACCTCCTTATGCTCCTGCCTCTGTCAGCTTTCCTCTCACCTCTGCTCTTCTCGCGTCTATTTAAGTCGCTTCTTTTCAGACGATCAGCTACAACTCTTCCGACTACGCCTCGGATTTCACATATCACGGTGGAGGCATCTTCGCTTCACAGCCTTTGCGGAGTTTAGTCCAAGTCTCACTCAACTCAACAACTTACCAAATCAGCTACTCTCTGAGTACATCAACGTTATTTATCTCAAATCTTGCAAGACCCGGCACTTCTCACGAGGCACTCAGCTGAGGTCACAGTCTCGACCAAAGCGGGGAGTCTAAATCTGAGGTTACTCAACAATACTCACCACCAAACCCTCGCTTCACTCAGTGGTAAGTGATCTACCCAACCTGAAAATGAAATTGCTCTTGCCCCCCCTGAGATAATTCGTATTCTCATCTGAGAGTTCATACAGGCTGGACTTCCTTCCGATATTTCAAGAGTCTCTCTCACGTAACTAACCTGGGACCTCAGATCTCCTCTCAGTGCCTCCGACTGCACTCAAAGAACATCACCAACGTCCAACAGGCTCAACGCCCCTGGCTATCAGTTCTTTCCCGAGATACCATATTTTACTTGACTGGAAACTTTTCGACTCACTTTCCCGAATTCTGGTCACTTTCTTTTCAAAAGGAATCAATCAGGTGCTGCTGAGACCTGACAGTCCCGCCAGGTACCGAAAAGAGCAGGCACGAGGCGACTTCTCGACAGTGCCTTCCCTTCTCGTTCCCAACGACGACCAGGCTCCAATTTAATCAAGTCTGACCCCGCCTGAAGCTTTTCTTCCGACTTCAACTCAGCCCTCGACATCAACTCGGACCCTTCACATTGCTGATTTGGGAGCCACGTTCGACAGATATCACGTCGAGACCTCACCACAGTACCCCTGACTCGGCGACATCTTTTCGAATCTGAGATACTTCAGATCGCATATTTGGTCACCGCGTACTCTGGGCCCGAATCTCGAGGTTTCTCATTTCGACAACAAGAATTCACGCAGTCAGAAGGCAGAGTCGCAGCTTCTGAGAACGTCCCAGAGCCACCAGAGCTCATCCCACTAGACTTACCATCTCGTCTCCTTCGGACAATATTTCTCGCCCATCACGTCCGAAAACCTACCCTGCCAATCTCAACAGCCACCGGCTCCAGGTCTTCTGATCGAACAGTTTCTGACACCACAGCTTTCCTTTCGGGAAGGAAGATAGATGGTCAAGCAGGTCATCTAAATCATCACTAAATCCATCCGAACGTCGGTTACTATCCACCAAAGCTACGTCTCCTACAACATATTAGCCGCGCACCATTCTATCACCATATATCTGCAACATAACCAAATTCACATTATAACTAGTAGGTTCAGCCTTTGTCCCAAAGATCTTGGTCAAAGGACTAACACTTTTTCACAGCCACAAGAACCGCCAAGATGTGCCAGAGCGGTTACTACTACTACAAGTGCACCCACCACGAGGTCGTCAGCTTCCCCTGCGACAAGAACCGTTGCCGTCACCTCCAGGAGCCATTCCACACCTACCTCTACGACCAGCTCTGCCACGACTGCGCCGAGCTTGGTCGCCAGAAGAGACAGGAGCGCTGCCGCCGCGAGAGCTGCCTTGACCAGCAGCCCCCGTCCCGCCCCGCGTCCCAGATGCAGATGCATGGCCAGCAGCAGAGCACTCAGGGACAGGGACAGGCTCAGGCCCAGCAGTCTCAGGACTCTCAGTCCTCTTCTCCCGACAGCAAGGGTACCATCCGCCCCCTTGAGACCAACAAGCTCGCCAACATGGACTGCCGTCTTGAGGGCACCTTGGGCCTCACCCCCAGCGACGTCTACCGTTTCTACCGCCACTTGCGCATGTGAAGGGGAGCTTAGATGAGTGGACCAGTGAAGATTCAGGGTGGGAAGAGATTCTTGACGCTATGGGGTAACGTTGCGAGGGGTGGCATATGATATCAGCGCGGTGTAGCGGTTGAGATAAAGGGCGTTTTGGTGTTGAGGCAGGAACAGCGCTGTCATCTGGGGAGACTTGCTTTACAGATCATTAGTGAAATGACATTCACGTTTTTGGACCAATGCTAGTCTGATGTCTTTGAAGTGATGTGTGGTCTTGTTGAAATCACTCATAGTGAGAAGCCACTGACCAAAGAATATTCAAAAAGACACACCAAAACACAGCAAAAAGTGCAATACAATACATCATATTACAAAATACAATACGAAGTCCCCTAAAATACATGATCAAATACAGTACAATACAATACAAATACATGTATTGATTGCTCCTGACTCATCAACGCAGTATGCAAGTATTCTCCGGGATACGTGCAGATCCCCGCTGGGATGTGATATTGAAACATCGCTGGAGGACAGTAATAGGGCGAGTCCGAATATTGAACGCATGCTCAATCGCATGGAACTTTCGCCGGAAAACCCGACACCATGACATGGTTGAGATGAAGTTGACGATCCGACTTGCGGCTCCAAGACTGGTTCGTGGAGAGCAGGGGAAATTGTTAGTGCAGCGACTAAGAACCACGAACAGGGATCCACGGCGCTGAGCGTCCACAGCTGAGCTGTGACAGCTCTGCCTGCCCCGTGCTCCAGCTCTCAGCTCTGCACCACACGTGGAGGTCCCAGAGTCTAGAACGCCCCTAACGACAAGGCCAGATGGCCAACTCTTTTTTTCCGCCCCGAACGTCATCAACCCGGGTGTCCTGCTCCTCATTCCATTTGCGCCAGACGACCTCCTCCCCAAACATGGTCCAACTCTGAGTCTTTCAACGTCCAATTCTGCAGACGAACCCGCCACGCAACCCTCCAACTGGTCTCGATTCAATTGATCCCGCCGCCAAGACCATCCAGCTCCGCCAGCCATGGCTCCCTCCCCCTTTGACACCGCGAAGCTCACCCTCGACTACCTCCCCTACGCCTGCGAGTTCGATCCCCAAGATGCCAACAGGCTGCTCGTCGGAGGCGGCGGCGGCGCCAACAGGTCCGGCGTCGCCAACAAGATCGTGCGCACCCATCCCTGCCGTCCCGGCCCCCCAGACAGACCGCGACTGACACTTGCGAAAAGACAGTGATCGACACCTCGGCAAAGGACGAGCTGCGCATCGCCGGCGAGGCCGACCTCAGCCGCAACGAGGACAGCGTCATGACCCTCGCCGTCGGCCCCAAGAAGGGCCGCATCTCCCACGTCTACGCCGGCATCAACTCAACCCCCGCCGACGTCGAAAAGGGCAAGAACGAGCACTTCCGCGTCTTCGGCGTCGAGCAGAGCAAGGCGCGTCTCTCCGTCGGTGCTAACAGCCCGAGCGTGAACCTCGCCGAGCTGTCGCGCACCGCCCTCTTCGCCCCCGCCGAGAACGACAAGGACGCCTACCAGCGCCTGCTGAGGCTGTCTGCGCCCTTTGGCGAGAAGCACCAGCTGGGCGCCGTGGCGACCGGTCTGGCGAAGCAGTCGCAGATCTCGCTCTTCGAGGTGTCGGCCGCTTCCGGGGCCGCGGTGAAGCCAAGGGGCACGTTGGAGATTTCGAGGGAGGCAATGGATCTGGATGTAATTCAGACCGGCGACGAGACGTTCCAGGTCGCCTTCTGCGATGAGCGCGACCTCTTCGTTGTCAACGTCACCAAGAACAGCGTTGATGGGCCGCATCTGGCTTTCACGATCAAGGAGGACGGGGCTGGCGTCACGCCCATCTTCAGGTCGATTCGGTACTTGTCGCCAAACTTCATCATGGCCGGCTGCAACCTTCCTAAGCGCACTGGCGTGGTACTCTTGGGCATCCGCCTGCCGATGAAGGAGGAGAAGGGCCGTCTGGCCGCGTCGGCCAAGCTGCCAAAGACAGTGACGCAGGCGACTACCATTGCCGTGCGGAACCTGAACCCGGCGTCAACACCCGATGCCAAGCTCGGCAACACGCAATTCGTCGTCGCCGTGGCAGGACAAGACCGCTCCGTGTCGCTCTTCACAGTCGAGCACAAGTCTCTCTCGAATCTCGAGCTCCTCACCAACCTCGAACGGCTGACGACGCTGAAGGAGGTCCACCCTCTGAACATCACAAACGTCGCCCTGTCCCACTTCATCCCGCCCAAGACGACCGCCCGTCCTCAGTACCTCAAGCTCGCCAGCATCTCCATGAAGAACACCGTCGTTGTGCACTCGATCCTGCTCAAGAAGTTCACCGACAGAGAAGTCCCCCTGCGCAAGGGCGGCCCGCCCAGGCCTCAGCGCTACGCCGTCGCTCTGCAACCCAAGAGATACGGCACCAAGGCTACCATCACGCTCGTCAGCATCATCGTCCTCGTCTTGGCCGTCCTCTTCCAGATCGGTCTCGAGTCGGCAGGCGTCGTGAGCCCGCGATTCCTTGCCAAGACGAGCCCCCTCGCCAACCCCAACACCCCCAACGAGTTCCTCTCGACGCTCATCGGCGAGGTCCACGCGCTCCAGGGTGATCCGATCGTCATCCGCGAGGACGCCGTCACCCCTACCCACCCCGAGGAGAACCCGGTCCCGAGGTTCCAGGCCGCTGTTCACGACGAGGCAGTCTACGGCCCCGCGGTCAGCTGGGACGATCTCTCGGCGCAGCAGAAGAAGCTCTGGAAGGAGAAGCTCTCCAAGGCGGGACACTGGACGCAGAACATGGGCGAGAGTGTGTTCAAGGGCATCCTGTTCGGCGAGCTGGCCGGCGCTGTGAGACAGGCGGTTGCTGGTCAAGTATGAGACGCATGGGTGTACGGATATATATAGAGTATTTTACGATCATGTCATTGCTAGGACTGCCTATGGGCACTACGATTTTAATGCAGAACTGTACTATGAACTTTTGCTTTTGCGGCGCTCGTTGGCCAGTGATGCTTGCAGTACGTGTTTGAAAGCCGGGACTGGTTCTCAAGTGCTATATATATGTGCGTGAACATGACTTAGAAGCACCAAATTTACCGTGGATTCGGGGATGGATTGGTTGGTTGGTTGAACATATAGACAGCCAGGACAATTTATCAAGTAATGCCACTCCAAACGAGTGAAGGCATGTCGTCACTTACTGGTGAGTCGTATTCGTCGGTACCACCCTATCATTCACCATTGCCGCCTTCGGTGTATGTATAGAATACTCTAACTTGTTTCAGCATGTTAGGTAAAAGCGACGTATCACATTTTCACGGACCAAATGTCAGATCATGGGGTGTGAGATGGCGATAGCCTTTTCCCCCATAGTACTGAGAAAATTGGCGAACGAGTCTTGACCGGTCAATCTGTATCAATGTTAATCATTGCAAGACGTCCGCATTATACCTTATGAGTATTCAGACAGGCATTCGGAATGGTGTCACATGAGGACCAACTCCGGCAATGGACAACTCAAAGACGCGGTGACGTGTTCATCGATGCAGCGCAATGTCTTACGAGCAAGATCATCGCATAGCTTCCCGTAGAACTAACAGATGCTCAAATTGCATTTTGAAAACACCTTAGAGATATTGAGGGATTATCTAGTTGTGTAAACATGCCCCAACAAAATGCTGATGCTGGTGGTGTCCGAGAACGAACGAAACCGATGCTCCTAGTCGTGGCTATAGAGAAGGCACGCATACCTCGCTGGCAAGGCCTGAGCCTCTACGTATTTATGGCATTGAACCTCTCTCGTCCACTGCAGGCACGTAATAGGTCCTTACCAGTCTTAATTTTCTTTCGACCGAAAATATTCAGGTTTGCATGATCCTGGGTGCTTCCATTGACGGATCTTGTCTACCCTGCGGGGATGGGTAAAAGTCACCAGTTTTCACGACAATGCCATCGTCATTTCCCTTCATTTGTGGCAGACACTTATACAAAGCGTGTATTTGGATGATTACTGAAGCAGCTGAAGCTCGAGACGAGGTTGAAAAGAAATTGAATTATATTCAGGGACAAAGTTATTCACGAACCTGCTTGGTAGACTTGTGACGGAAAGCGAACCACAAGCTGTCTCATTGCTCTCTTATCCGTTTCTAACACGCCTGAGTGTCTGAAGTAAATAAAAAAGGTATAGGCAGGGATCAGTTCCTCGATGGTTACCGCGATACGTACCATGGCCGAGCATTCGACGGAGCCAATTCTTTAAATTCGGTTGTTGATAACATTGTTCAGGCCGTTTTTCTCTCCTAGTAGCCCCGGGACCTAGGAGCCTCTCGACACTGATTACTTCTTCATTCCGACCTCACGCGTAATTCCAGCATCTCTGGACTTGTTCGTCTCCGTGAGTCGTCGTCGCTCTCTGAGATGTGTCCTAAGAATACGCAAAGTATTCAACAATGGTGCGAGGAAGACTTCACGCGTTCGTACGCGTGGGATGTCGTCATGAAGTTTTACTTGGGACCTTCCATACGATCGGTCTCGATTGCATGTACAAAGCATATTAGGCGAATGTATTGCTCGGTTTGGAATATTGAAAATTCGGCGCCTCGGTCATCTTTATATGGACCCTAGCCTGGGATTGAAGCTCTTTTTGGCATTTTCTCTGCAGTTGAAGCTCTGCAGGGCATGATGAATAGGTTATCAAGAGCCAATAACTTGACGTGCAATGGCACAATGAACCGCCTGAGTCCGCCTCAGTAACAGTGGCTCCAGGCGTCCAAGGCCTAGCTAATGCTGTCACGCGGTGCCCAACGCGCGTATACGTGAAGGACCGCCAGTCACTGAAGCGTCTCACCTTTGTCCATCATCGTCTGATCATTCTTGTGAGTATCGTATGCTGGAACCCGTGATCTTTAGTTTAAAAGATAGTCCTTGCGCACTGTAACTACATGCTATCCCTGGTGCAACGGCCGTCTCCCGCGTGTACTAGCACAACTGGTTCCAGACTACAGAGCAAGCCACAGGCCTGACTTGCAAAAGGAATATAAGACGCCTTCGCGATAGCAGTCGTGGAAGCCTCTCCAAGAACCCAATCAGCTGTTGAAGTCAGATATGTGGCTGGCTGGTTTTAACGATCGTGGGATGATCACTTCAGGCTGTTTATCCGCCTTCTCTATACTAAGATATTTAGTTATACCTATTAAAACAACCTCTGCTTTGCATTGAGTAACACTTCATTAATTTGACTGATTTGACTGATTTAAATAGTGGCTTGATTGAGTTGGATACACCTCCCGCTGTGAATCACGATCTCAAGATTGGACCTTTATGATTTCACTGATCATTAAGATTCGTATCATTCGCAGAGCTTAGCTCTACGGCGTGTTGCTGTCTAAACCAGAAATCTGCTCATGTGTGTATCATGCGCGCTTCTAACCAATAAACGAACCAAAGAAATGTAGCTAGACGGACTCAGGCACCTCTGCAATGCCTCAACATTCACGTCAATCACCTAAGAAACGTGTCTCGACCTGCCCTTGTCCGTCGTCTCGCTCATAGCACTCTCCACGCTCGCCTGCGACTCCTTTCTGTCCTCGGCCCTCTCGGTCTTGTTCTCGAAAGCGAGGCCGGGGTGTCCAAGACACAGCGAGAAAACAGCGAGAACAATCAGTCTGCAATCATTGTCAGCATACCGAATAACCTCGCGACAACAGACCAACTTACACTCCCTCCAAGCCGATAAACAGCCCCTCGTCCGTAACCTTCGTCGAGTTGGAGTACCCCTCGCTCAGCTCATCGACACGGTACGAGCACCGCGCGAGGATGAGCGCGACGGCCAGCGCCAGGAACCCGAAAAAGATCTTCTCGCGCTGCATGAGCTTGCGCGTGTAGCTCGACCGCGTGTACCGGATCATGTAGTCGGCGAAGACGGCGCAGAAGACGACGATCACGACGACCTGGATGACGAGGCCGCCCATGGCCAGGTTGACGCCCAGGTCCGAGTCGCCCTTGGAATCGGTGCTGATGGCGCCGCCGGCGGCCTGGATCACCAGGCACGACACGTCCAGGGCGATGAAGACCCAGTAGAGCGCCTTGGGAGGGAGGCGTGCGAGTTCGGGCCCGAGGTGGGTGATGCTAATGTGTTCCGCCTGAGTCAGCGCTTTTGTCTCTCGGTTATGGCGTTCTGACACCAGTATGCTTTCTTTTGGCATCGCAAGATTGCGATCCCGCGTAAGGGGTGGGTTCGCCCAGATCCAGCCCCAGGAAAAAGCAAACGCCGCCGAAATGACAGTGACGACCGAAAACAAGGTGAGCAAACAGAAGGACTTACGCTTTGGAGAGGGTCACGTAGATGGCGGCGGTGTACCAGACGGGGCCGCTGGTGATGAAGACGATTTGCAGCATGAAGGGGACGAAGGCGAAGGGGTTGTGGTAGAGCATGATGCGGCCGATGTAGCCGACGATCTCGCTGAGGCAGCCGAGGACCATGAAGGTCATGAACCAGTAGGAGCGCCAGCGGATGCCGAGGAAGATGTGGACGAGGCCGGCGATGCCGTAGAGGGCGAGGAAGAGGGCGTTGACGGCGAGGTTCGGGCGGTACCTGTACAGGCTGTAGTGGATGTCGCAGATGTCGAGGGTGCAGTTTGCGTCGGGGCCGAAGACGACGACGTACGGCGGGAGAGGCGGCGGTGGTCCGGCCATTTTTGGTGATGGGTTTGCTTCGTTTGGACGAGTATGAGGTGAAGACGGGACGGCTTCGAGAAGTGCGGGAGGCGGGAAGGGCTTCTTCTATGAGGATCGCGGTGGGAGATGTTTGTCTTGGATGCCGGCTGTCGTGCTCGGGCCTTGGATGCTGAGAGGAACAAGCAAGCGTGTCGATACACTCAGGACCGGAAAGGGGCCACGCTATATACATACAAGATTGTCACAGGGAGGGAATATTGGATTAGAGTCTGGAACACGATGGGGGCGTTCACAGCATGGACGGATCGCGGGATCCAGGTACGGAGGAGAGACTCGTCATCGCTAGGCGCATTAGAGGGCCCCCAAGGCTCGCATTCTCTTCGATGATTCAGATAGGCTCGTGGCTCGAGGAGCAGCAACGCCAATCATGTCGGAGCTGGTGGGCGGTGCAGCCGTCAGCCGGGGGTGTGTGACAGAGACAGTTCACCTTCGCGGCCGATGTGAAAGAGGCTGAAGTAGACGATCCGCCTGGCGGCAGTGAGCTGAAAAGGGATGCATTCTGCGCTCGCAGCTAGCTAGCTCACAAGCACCAGCACAGCACAACCTTCGTCTGGATGACGAGCGGAAGAAACGTGCGTAGGGCGAAAGAGATCGGCCGTTAAGGATGGGACGGCGTCTGTCTTGGCTGCTAAGCGAGTGCGGAAGCGGGGCCGGGACGGACATGTCAGATGCGAATGGAAGAGGAATGCTGCTTGGCTGCGTGCGTGCGAACAGGGAGAGAAAGGAAGCTGTGGTCTGTGCGAGCGAGTGCGAAAGGGCGGGCCGCGTCAAATGCGTCCACTTTGGGAATCGTGGAATCCGTCGGTGAGGAACAGCCAATTAGCTGGGACGGAGGAGGCCTTGAGATGACGACGGGCTGATGAGTCGGAGGAAAGTTGGGACGGTTGGGCTGGGTTTGGATGATGTGTCGTGCTGCAGGCTGACTGGGGGCTGTAGGGCTGGGCACAACCAGGGCATTGGAATCTCGACACGGGATGAAGGTGTCATTGATCTGAGGCCTATCCCACCATTGTGCATGATGTATTGGTGGTGAGGGCCATGCCAAGGGTTCTGCCTGTGAAGTGGAAGAAGCCGCCGACTGTTACCATGGACGGGTGCGTGCCTCTGCTCGAATGCCAAGGCGGACTTAGGCGCTGGACGATTTGGGCACGCTGTCTCAAATCTTGCTAGAGGGCTAACTCAAGCCGACCGCTGGAACGAAGGCGTCACGTCTGGTGTGCCCGCGCGCAATGCCGCCGAATCGGGACAGCGCGTTGAGGGGTCTAGACCGACGGTTGATCGTTTCCTCCGCGGCCTTTGACGGAGCTGTTTTCGGGCCGGCACAGCGGCGAGATCGGCGACACATCTCGATCCTGCGTTTGGCGTTGCGAGGTCAATAACATGCCGGTCATGTGTTGTTGATCCGAAGCTGAGATCCAAGTCCGTGTGTGGGGCCGCTATCCGGCGCCGGAGGCCGGACCCCGGTGCTCGGAGCAGTCACCGAAGACCTTGTCGTGCTATCTGTGTTTACGCCTTTCACTGACCACGTGCACTCGAGATACGTATTCCTGGAATCGTTTCGAGCGAAGCTTGATTCGGTTTCCTACAGTAAGCATATTCAGGACATGGGACGAACTGGCCGAGTCATGCGGCCTCTTTCTTTGAAACAACACGGACAGGCCTTATTGCAGAAGTTACGATTCAGCTACGTACATATCAGCAGGCGGCTTCAGTAGTCGTAAGAGAAGATCATTAATTATTATCGGTAGGTACGACGAATGATCGTCAATCCGCTCGGTGAAATATAGGTGCGCGAGGATAGAACAGTTGTGTACATCTATTTAAAGTTGCGTGCTCTCTGGATTCGGCAATTGTGTGGGCGAAGCCATGAACTAATCATCTCAGCCCGAATTCAGACGACGAAAGCACTTTACTGCAGACAATGTCTATCTTTGGCTTCTACGATGTTCGTCTGATTTAGCTGTGGGCCTTGGAGTTTCCGCAGCCCTGTCGGCCTGATCCGAGTCTATCTCAAACATACCCACAAAGACCCATGATGCTCAGTGGCAGGAATTCATTTTTGGACGATGAGGCTGGAAGAGGAAGGAGGAGATGGCCACATCGAGTTGATGGATTGCAAAGACCCCATGTGGCACTCTTTCGACCGCCTGCCGGATATGATGCTCACAGGCATGCGCTGGAACGTCGTGTCCGGTGTCTCGACGTCCGCAGCGTGCCACGACGTTTTCTGCTATTACGGGCAACCGGTCTGGACTCCTATCATTGCTGATACTAATGATGCCGTCCCGTCTGAGAGATCGGGCTTTGAGATCTATGACAGCTATGTCGATGCTTCCCGTCTGTTGATGATAGCGTAGCCAAAAAATGTGACACTCGTCTGACACTGAATACGTGGCACGTCGCAGTTTGCAAAGGCAAGAAAGGACTGCGCGTCACCTAGAAGGCCACCTTCAGACACGTTGTCGTGCCATTCTGATGTACGTCCATCGTTCGTTGTACAGTCTCAAAGTATGAGCTCGTAGACGGGCGGGAGAGATTCGCCATCGGTTGTGAAGGACGCCTCGACTGCTCAGACATACCGTGACAAGAGAGAAACACAGGACGGCGATCGCTCCCGTGCGTCGTCTGGAAATGACGACAAAAAGAAAGGAAAGAAGATTGACCTGGTCCGTGAACGTCCTTCTCCATCCCAAGACTTTGCCCAGATGAGATCTGCGCCTCACAGCCTCGAAAACTGGATGCCTCAGACTCTTCGCATCGAACGACGGACATGACCGTCAAATTCCGATCACCATCAAACGACGTCCGCCCGCACGCCTACCCGCAGGCCGGCCCACGACAGAAGAGGTGCGAGTCCAGGAGTAACGCGGCGCGGTCGCCAGCGCACCAAGCCGCTCGGGAGGCCGCATCAGACCTGACCCGTGCCGTCGTGACGTATTTCGTAAGTGTATAGTAGCTCCGCCAGAACGACCCCGTCGAGAAACCAACGCCCAACGGCGGCGTCACCGTCGTCGATCATGCAATCGTCCCGCGTCTCCGCGATTCGACTCGTACGCATTGTGGTACAATATCCTCCGATACCCCACGAGTCGAATCATGTTCCGGATCCAGCCTGTCGGTCGTCATTTCGTCGTCGCCGTTCCATCTGCCCTCTCCAGAGACATCAAGCCCGTGGCGGTTTGGGATGTCCCGGCATCCAACAGGATGCCAAAATTCTTCCGAAATGAGACGGGCAATGCTGCGCCCTCTCTAGTCATCCATGAGGATCCCGCGGGGCATCTTCCTCAGCCCTTTCGAAATCCCAGAGAGCCACAAAAAAGAGAAAAAATCCATCGCCTTCCTTTTCAGGATCTGAGACGGCATGACCCCAGCTCGCGGCGTGGAGTGCTTGCTTGACCGCGGGTCCCTCTCATATCGTTTCGGTCCCCCATCCCGGGGCCTCATCATCCCTCGGTGAACTCAAAAAAAGAACAGGAGGATGGGTGGTGGATTGTTTGTCGGTGGAGAGTTATGCAAGCGCGGTGACGCCGTTCATAACTTGATCCTCGTCGGGCGGGGGCCCGCCGTTTCACCCAAATTGATCTCAGGTCGGGCGCCCAATCAGAGGCCGCCGTTCATCCCAATTGTAATCTCCCGAAAGTCCCTCAGTTGTCCCATGCTCAGATGCCCGCCAAGACCCGTGCCGCGCTAGTCCCAGGGGTATTCGTCTCTTTCGCAGGGGTCCGGTTGACAGTCGTCCAAAGGTGGCGGTCGGGTACGTGGGTGATTCGGTGTCGGTGTCGTCTTGTGGGTGGGAACGCTGCCCAACGGCGAAAAGTGTGAGTTGCACTCTGCTGTCGAAGTCCGGGGAAGATCGCTGTAGGGGCGATCATGTTACCTCACTTGAGGGAATCGGGTGAGGCGAAGGAGATTCGTTCCCTAGGCGCCAGAGCCAAGTTTGTTGGCTACTTGAAATGTCACGTTGCGAAGAATGTCACCAATATCTTGTTACACCAAACCGCATCGTCGTTAAAGCCAGGCTCGTCTGGTTGGCTGAGATCTCCTCCAGCGTCTTCCAACGCCGGAGCATCACTCGCGCCACCGAGAACAGACCCCAAATACAATTAGAAGATTAGATACAAATGGTATTTGCCATTCCGTTAAGATGATACATGTACAAAGAGAAGACGGGCCTCTTTTTACATATGTCTCGTCTCTACTACTCCAGCAAAAGACCCGCCAAAAAGTTGTTCGTTAAATGCCGTAGCCGTGATGGCTTCCTTTAGAATTGTCCCGGGGAAAGGATTTAAGCGAAAACGTAGGCGGCAACACCGGCGAAGGCGGCGAGAGCGACGGAGCCGCTCAGGCCGGAAGCGCCAGCAGTGACGGGGGTCTTGGTGGGGGGAACAGAGCTGGTTTGGGTGTTAGTGATGCTGCTCGTTTCTAGACAGAATATCAGGATAACTCACGTAGTGCCGTTGCCGCCAGTGGGAACACCGGGGATGGTAGCAGAGGGCTTCTGGCCGGTGGCGGTGGCGCAGGGGACAGAGACGGTCTCGTAGATGACGGTAGGGACAACGGTGGTGACGGAGGTAGAGATGGTCTTAACGGAGACGCCGGGGCAGACGGGGGCGGCCGGGCTGGACACCAGGGTGGCGGGGACGGAGACGGAGGGCAGAGCAGCGCCGGTGGTGACGGCGGGGGGCTTGCCGGTGGTGGCGGGCTTGGAGGGAACGGCCGCGGGGACGGTGCCGTTGTTGGCGGGGGGAGGGACAACGACAACGGGGGGCTGGGTGGCAGAGGGCTTGGCGCCAGTCTCGGTGACTGGGCAGATGGTGGTGCCGATGGCCTTGGTCTCGGTGACGACGACGGTAGAGCCGGCGGGGCAGTTGGTGACCGTGGGGGCGCAAGAGGTGATGGTCTTGACGTTGGTCTGGTAGACGGTGGAGGTGGTCACGGGGACGACGCTGGAGGAGACG